CAGCTGGAGGGATCCCATTCATGCGTTCAACAAATATTTATTGAGGATCTGCTTCTAGGCATTGTCCTAGATGCTAAGGATATAGCAGTGAGCAAAACAGACAAAAACCCCTCTCTACTAAACATACTTTTTAGTGTGGGGAGGGGAAATAAGCCAAATAAAAAAGAAACACATAGAGTATGTTATTAATACATAGTGAAAGTTCTAAGAAGAAAACCAAACCAGGGAAGGGTGTAAGGAATGTCTGAATGTGTGTGTAGAAAGTACACAGAAATTTGGATGGGTTGGTCACAGGAGGAACACCTAGAAGGTTACATTTGCAGGAAAGGAGCAAGCATTGAGAGTATGGGGTTGGGGGAGAGCTTTCTGGGCAAACAAAAGCAAGTGTAAAGACCCTGTGGTAGGACTTTGGTCTTAAAGTTGCCATGAAGGTCCTTAATTCTACCTCCCCTCCTCCCCACCCCTAACTTGTGAGGCTGAAGGCTGCTCAAAGCGTCTGGATGCTGCCAGTGGCCATGGAGGGGCCGTGGGCAGGACCAGGGGTCCTGGAGGTGAGGGGAAGAGGATGTTGGGCTCAGAGCTCTGTGCATGGACTTGATGAGGTGAGGCTGTTGCCTTAACGACACCTTCTACCACTTTAAAATTTGAATCCACTCTTGTCAGTTGAAGGGATCTCAAGAGGATTTGCAGAAGGAGTAAGTAGCTTCTAGACCAGATACCACTTGTGGCCAGAGGCCTGCCCTACTGTACCCAACATACCCCTTGCAGAGAGGAATGTCAGCCTCGCACGGGAGGCTCTGCATGTTTTCAAGCCGCTGACCAGGAGCTGGGGACTTCTTTAGTCCCGCATTAGGAACCTGCTCCTGATCCCCTGGACATCTCGAATGCTGACCTGTACGTGAGGATGCGGACTTGAGGCCTACGTCTGTCTGTGCCGATGGACAGATAAGCCTGTTAACAGTTGGATTTTGATTTTTTAAAAATGCATGCAAGTAATCAAAAGTCAAACTAGCGTATCCTAATTTCTCAGGAGTAGGTAGAGAGCTCTCCCTTCTGCACAGCGAGGAAAGTTTTTAATCGATAGTCTCAGCATGCTGAGATGAGTGAGAAAAAGCCAGGAAGGCTCTTCTTACACGTTTTTACCCCATAAAAGTGCCCTATTTTAACAGGAAACAGTATTTTTTTCTAATTAAAAACTGGGGGATATTGGCAGAAAACCGAAGGCCAGTGTGGCTGGTGTGGAGTAAGGAAAAAGAATGGTAGAAATTAAAGTCTGAGACGTAAGGGTGGTGGGTAGAGGAGGCACATGCAGTGTCCACTTTCAACCATTTAAACATGGCTCTTCACCAGGGTGGTGTCAGCCATCAACCCCGCAGGTGCAGGGGGTGCAGGGTGGAGGCCTCCTGGAGCCCGGGTGCACATGCCCGTTCTCCATGTGACTAGTGCTCACATAGGGTGTCCTGAAAGGGGCACCAATCCACAAAACCACCCTTTGTTCACATATTTTTGGGTGAAGAAGATAAGGCAAAGAAAAGCCCTTTTTTTCTCAGAGCTTATAGTAACCACGCTCTTACACAATGTGCGTGGATTTTCATGCTAAACACATAGTAACCACCATGAGAGATACTGAGGAAAAGAGGAATAAAAATATTGTGGCAGGATCATAAACCCTCAATGTTCTTTGTCTGCCTTGAATTCAGTGAGGACACTTCCCAGAATCCTGTTTATGTGGAAAACTGGAAAAGTCTAACAATCACCAAGAGTGGTTTTGTTTTTCTTAGGAATCTGACTTCCCTCTGTACCTAGAGCTGATCACAGCACTCTGGCTGATTAGATTGATTTAGACATCAGGAACATTTTAAAAAGTAAATGTGCATTCCTCTGGATTTGTAAATACTCATTAAACTATTTCATCAACTGATTTGCCCAGACTGCTGTGCGCCCCAACCTTCCCCACTGCTGGGCACTGCTGTCCTGTCTCAGCCCCCATTTTTCTCCAGCTACTTGTACCCCTTTCAGGGTCTGCTGCTGAACTCCCGTGTTCAGAGGCTGGGGCTGGGGCTTTCCGTTCTGTTCTCTTTTCAGACCTATAGATAAATGCTTTGTCTTCCACCAGTTGCCGATCAGGGGTCAGGAGGGCATGCCTGCTCCTCGTTCACGCATTCATATTTTTACTGAGAGCCTAGTGGAGCTCAGGCATGCTCCAGGGACCAAGGAGACCCCCACTACACAACAAAAGTGAAACAAGTGACCGTCGGAGGCGAAAAGCGGGGCTGACACTCCAGTGAGAAGGCGGACCATAAATAAGTAGGTAAGGCATACGTGCAGTGATAAGTGCTATGAAGAAAGAATGGCCGATAGTGGTGGAGGATGACAAAGTGTGTGTGGTGCTAATTTAGAACAAGTGGTCAAGAAAGGACCCTTTGATAAGGTGACTTGTGAGCAGGCTTCTGGAAGTCTCAGGGTAGATCTTTCTAGGCAGAGAAAACAGTGACAGCCAAGATTCAGAGACCTGGCAGTGGTTGATTGTTGGGACAGTAGCCAGGAGGCCATGATGGAGGGAGCAAGCCAGGGGGATGCGCTCAGAGGTGTCAGGGGACCAGCTCAGGAGGAACTCTGTCTGCCAAGGCAAGGCCTGTGGGTTCTATTCTAAGGGAGGCAGAAGCCCCTGCGACATTTGACAGGGCCAGGCTGGCTGCGGTGAGACTAGAAGCCCAGTTAGGAGACCACCACAGCCTCCCAGCAAAAGAAACGGTGGAGAAATACATGCCACAGACAGACCCTGGCTGGAAGGGCTAACAGTAGGCCCACGGATCGCTCTGCACCCCCTTACTCTTTGGGGATGGGATCATCAAGTGTCCATGAAAGACATGAAAGAGTACAGCTAAGCTATCGCTACCCAGCTTCATTCAAAAAGGGCATTTGTCCATAGAAGACATTTTCTTAAATACATTTCACTTCATCATATCCTTTATTTAAGACCCTCGCTAATTTAAATGCCTTCAGAAGCCTGGGTAAGAAGTCCCTTACTTCTTAATTTCCCAGAAACTGCTGTTGCTGAATTAAAGAATGAGGAAAGTGTTGTTTGCAAGTTGCGAGCCTTATGCAGCCTGGCTGTCAGAGTCCCTCCATGCCGCTCCTGGACTTCCCAGCTTCTCACCCACTTCAGTTTTCTTGGACGAAAACGAGCGGGCATGACATACGCAGAACACCACAGTGTGAAGCGCTGGGGTGATGCGGGCCTTGGGGAGGCCTTCGGGAATAAGCACAGGTTGCTGAGGAAATCAGTTCCTCCACGATCTGCTGAACGTTCCCTTGTGTGTTCCTCAAGATCAAAATGTCAGCCGCTGAAGAGGTCCCCCGGGAAAAGCAGTGCCACGCCGGCCATGACTGCTTTGTGGGGAGCCTCGTGGTGACTTCCCTGTCAGACAGTCCCTGCTGCTGACCACACGCAAATCTTGGAGACTTCTGACTGGTGAGCTCTCTCCTCCTTCCCGCCATGTGGGGTACTAAAAAGGGCATCTTCTTACTTTAAAACCATGTGGTTTCAGATGCACGGTGAACCTAGCTGACTGTCCCAGGTAGACTGCTGCACAGTGACACCTGGTGACAACCTGAGGAGACCCTAAAAATGGCTGGGAGGCTCCCATGCTTACAGTCAATCCATTCACTCACTGTGACTGAGGCAAAGGGTCCCCTGGTCTTACTGTATCCTTTGGAGACTGGAATTTTCCCTTTGAAAACAACCCTTCTATTCTTTATAACATTTTACCTGAATAAACTAAGGGTAAAGGAGAGAAGTGAATACGGACCACAGGGAGTGACTGTGTATATGACAGACATACATAAAAATAGATGAATTGAAACAAGTTAACTACCAATTTAGCCCGTTTTGCCCGTTTTCCTCAAAGAGAAAACAATTATCACAAAACTGTAAGTACAAGCTATAACCTCTAATTCTAATTATTCAGAAACAACCCTGATTTAAATCATAACTTTTAAAACTAGTAATAAGCTTAAACAGCTTGGGTTATAAGATTTTATCTACTTTAAGGATACCTTATACAGTACTGTGGCTCACAAATATCAAGCTGCTTCAGTATGGCTTCAGTGACTGTCACAACAAATCCTCGATAAGTAAGAGTCCTCCAGGTTTAAAAGTTAATTCCAACGTGTTGAAAGAAAAATGAGGTGCAGAGGTTAAGGCTTAAGGCACAATGTTTAAGGGGCCCACATGATACATAAGGAATCAGAGCCTGGGTTTTGTCAAATGTCTGCTCCCACCGCCACTCCAAGATGACATTTAAATAGTGATTGAAATAATGTCAGGACATCAGTAAATTCATGTGATGTGTATGCTTTCTAATAAAACAGTTTTATCATTTTTAGAAATAAAAATACTGTCATTTGAAGATCAAAAAATTTACCAGTTATTATTCCAATGGCATCCACACTAAAAAAGTAACATGAAACAGGTAAAATTAATTTTAAAAATATATTTTATTCAATATATCCAAATTTTATCATTTCAGCATGTAATCAATATTTTAAAAGTATTAAGTAGATATTAATAAAAATATTTACTATTTTTTCATACTAAGTTTCAAAATTTGGTGTGTATTTTATACTTTCCTAATTCAGATCCTAAATTTTCATGCAAAATACTTGCTCTGTATTTAGATTTCATGAAATTTACATTTGAAAAATTCAATTCACATAACCCAAGTTATTCGAAGCATAGCTACAAGATTTCCAGTATCTGAGTTGAGAATCAATATTAGTTGAAATTTTTAAAAAATCAAAAATTCAGTTCCTCAGTTGCACTAGCCACAGTTCAAGTGCTCAAGAGTCACACGTGGCCAGTGGCTGCTATTCTGAACGAGCTGATTTAAGGGGCCACAAGCAATTCTGCTCTTAATACAAGAGTGTTGCTCTTAACAGGAGGCATTCAGAGCAGATGTCTTTAATCTCCTCTCAAAATTAAGTAACTGTCTTGTGCCTTGTAACTATCCACTGTCTCATCAACATAGTATAAATTAAAATTTTTCTTAATTACATTTTGTCATAATATGCCATATTTTGTAATAAATGTTAAACTACATTCAGATATTATGTATAAATGCTTCCTGTCAAATTATGGAGAAACTTTGATATGAATTCTAAAATGACCCAATTAGCCATGCATCTTTCTCCAAAGTAAACATTAATGCAAAATATTAAACCAACCCCTAAGACCAGTGTTGAAAAGGAGATCCCATTATATTATTTACAAAGGAGTGAGTAAATATTCCTTGAATATTTATTTAAATGGAACAAGTCATGAGAATCAAAGTGAAAATATTTTTATGCCTATGCTTTAGCTCTCAATTTATTTCATTATCTCTTTACTAGTTGAGTATTTAAAAAATGCAAAACACTTAGGTATTAGACTGAATGACAACAGCTATAGTATTTCTTATCTAACTTAAACCTGTGTGACCCTTGAAATTATAACACCCACTGATCAAAACAGATGCTCAAATCTTTACTAAAAGTGAGTAATTAAATCCTGTGGTTAAATTGCTGCAAAAATAGAATGAGATTCAAATGCTGGAGCCCATGAAGCTTGTCTAATGGTGAGGCGGTGTCGCCTTCCTACATCTTGGCCATCAAGCTTCTGGCTTGGTCCTTAAGCTCCAATTTTGCGATCGCTGAGAGGTGGACTTCATCGGGCCCATCTGCTAAGCGCAAAGATCGCGTTAAGGCGTACCTGGAAAAACAAAAGGAACAGGCATGGCAGGAGTTATCAGAGCAGAACAGATACTTTAGTGTCAGTCACTCTGATTTTAAGCCAAAACTATTAATTTTTGAAATCTCGCCAAGGCAGTGATAAGAAAAAGAGCACAGGGAAAATCAAAGAAAGAAGCCCACAGATTTCTGAAATGCCATTTTCAAGTTCTCACCTTGGGAAGTGTACTCTTAAAGGGCATAGTGCAGGGGGCTTAAGCTCAGTCTTGATTTGCTACAGGTTACTAGAAGTTGCTAGAATTATAAGAGCTCTCTTAGGTGAGCCATAAGCAGTGAAGTATAAATACATAATACTTCTATACTATAAATATACAGTATTATATACTTAGTTCTTTCTTAAGATTAGAAGTGGATGGGGGGAAATTGATGGGGCCCGTCTGGAATGTGGTAGAGAAGGTGGTGCCGTGACTGTGGGGAGATGGACAATGGGGATTACTCTTTCTTGACTCCCAGCAACCAGAATCTGGACATGAGATGGTCATGGGCACGCCCTGCTGCACACTGGGCTGAGGCCGCCCTGTGGAGTTAGTAACCGTCCTGATAACACACCTAAGCCTGGCTCAGGCTCCCTTTGGCTCCCTGCTCCCTCCTTTCCTTCGTAGTTCAGGGTGAACACCCCATGCTATTTCTTCTACCCAGGAACCCCAGTGTAAAAGTTCACATAATTGAGTGAAACGGTAGTTGTAATCCTAGGAGCAACTAATTGATACTGAGCTGTATATTAAAGTACCTTTATTACAGTTGACCTTTGAACGATGAGGGGGTTAGGTGCATTGAAGCCCAGTGTAGCTGAAAATCCGCATATAACAAGTCCATTATTTAGCCTTTAATTATAGTTTAAACTAAGTTAGTATCTTTATTTTCTTCTTAAACAATTAGTGTCAAGGCATCTGTAGATTTTTAACCCCAAGCCTGTGAAAATCAGATGCTTATAAAATGACATCTACTCACATGTAAGCCAGCGGGTAATCCTGGGACAGACCTGCGCCTCCGCACACTTGGATGGCCTGGTCAATAATTTTGCAGGCTGCCCGCGGGGCAGCCACTTTAATCATTGCAATCTACAAAAGCAAGACACAAAAAGAATGTACCTTCCTTCAATAATACACAATGTGGCCGAGTCTGATATAATCTGTATTTTCTTTGTGAAATGGAATGAGGGAACTTTCCCACATGCATCACCACTCAAACAGGATCATTGATGAAAGACAACAGAGATCCACTGTGATGCAGCAAATGGCCATATTTCAGTCATTACGGACCTTCTGGAAAGAGAGAGTGCTTCCAAACCACATTTTATTCATTTATTTATAACTTGCTTTGTTTCCAAAAGAATTTCAGGCAGCCGGTAAATTATCAATACTTTTATCACCTTAGGGCTCGTAAAGAGTTAAAGAGTCTTTACTAATCAGTTTTCTCCTAGCAATTTTGTCGGCTTTTAGAATTAAATGATCATGTTCTTATTCCAGATAAGCCAGAAACATAAGAAGGCAGAGGATAAGAAGTACCTTTTATGAAACATTTATTATGTGTTCAACACAGTGCTGTGCATTCTATATCATCTTGGTCACTCTTCAGTAGAACCCTACACCACAGGCAGAAAGGTTAGATACTTTGCCCAGTGTCACTAGTCTAGCAGACGGTGACATACTGAGTACAATTCCAAGTCTGTATGAAGTCTAGGATTTCCCTAATCCCTGTTGCTACATCTCAAGAATGCTGAAGATATTTGGCATCCTGAAAATCATTCCCAAAGCAGCCCAGTGAAAGGAAAGCTAGTAAGTGCCATACTTTTATAATCTTTAAACCAAAACCACACAGAAGCTTCCAATATTCTGAGCACCATCAAGGCACCAGTGAGACCTGAAAAGCCCAATGGTTGGAGAAACTGGGGCAGGCTTGGCAGATGGTGGTCCAAGGGGCCTCACCTCTTTCTTGGCGCCAGCACTGCCCAGAGTGTCAATTTTGTGGGCGGCTCTCAGGGTCAACAAGCGGATCTCTTCAATGGCAATGCGGCTTTCAGCAATCCAGTGAGCCACAACTTCCTGTAGGGGAGCAAAGGACAGCAAACAAGAGGAGATAAGCTGGTGTCTGATGTCACGTGTAACACAGCCTTGTAATTTGGAGGAAACACTCAAGGCCAAGGACTGGTCCCAAGCCTTACTCTGCATATTTTTAAGTGGAAGAGTTAATTCGTTTGATACAACTTCTTTAGTAGTTGTAGAACCATACAGATAATCTATTTCACCTTTAATGAGTTTGGTAGTTTGTGGCTTTTGAGGAATCAATCCATTTCATCTAGGCTGTTAAATTCATGTGCCTTGCCCTCATGCCAGAGTGTGTGGGTCCCAAGGCCCAGATCTGCAGTGGAGGAGACTCCATTTCAGCCTCAGCTCCAGGCCCATTCTCCAGTCCAACTTTTCCTGGAGAGCTCTGCATTGTGGGTTATAGAGTGCCTCCACAAATTAAGTAAATGCTAGTTCCAATCACTTCTACTGCCAAGAAAATTGAATACAAGATGTACTTTTCCCTTTCTTCTTGCTAAGTACAGTTAAAAACCTGGGCATTATCTATAAAACAAACCTAAGAAGGCTCTGAAAGTTGGAAGAAAGAAGGCAGACCTGCCAGGGACTTCCAGACTAAAAGAAGAGCTTGGCAGTGACTTCCCTAGGCTTTCTTTTTGCCTCCCAGACCCCAGACCTGGAGCTGAAGAAAGCAGCAACCTGGAAATGCCGATGAGCGCAGACAAGACTCAAACAAAGAGGTGTCCCAACTAAAGCCTCCTCTCTTCAGCTGAAGGATTGGGTAGGGGTAGCCTAGCAAGACAGAAAACTTTAATACAGTAACAAATCTACCCAATCCAAACACCACAGAAAAAAACATGACCCTGCCCCTACTCATGCCAGTAGATGTCCACCCTCATCAGTGTTATAAGGAGCAACCTCAACACCCCTGCCAGGGTGGTATCAGAGAATGCCAAATAAGGAGCTAGGCCAGCAACGAGCTCACTTCACCTGTGTTGTCAGTGGAGACCACATGGGAAGCCTGGACTTTGACCCCACCAGGCAATAACAATGCACTCCTCTCATCAGGTATCATTGGAAGCTGAGAAGGAACCTGGACTTCTACATCTGCCTGGCAGTAATGAGGTGGTACAACCCCGTCTTCTAACAGAGTCGTGTCTCAGAAAGCCAGCTAAAATAGGTTTTTATAGGCTAATATCCCTGGTGAACATAGATGCAAAAATCCTCAAGAAAATATTGGCAAACCAAATTCAGCAATATGTTTAAAAGATCATACACCATGATCCAGTGGGATTTATTCCTGGGATACAAGGTTGGTTCAATATCCACAAATCAGTTAACTTGATAAAACCACATAAACAAAATGAAGGATTAAAAAATATAAATTTATCAATAGATGCAGAAGAAAATATTTGACAAAATTTAACATCCAATTATGATAAAAATTCAGCAAAGTGGGGACACAGGGACCATACCTCAGCATAATAAAGGCCATATACGGCAAACCCACATATAATATCATGCTCAATGGTGAAAAGCTGAAAGCTTTTTTTTTTAAGATCAGAAACAAGAGAAAGATGTCCACTTCCACCACTTTTGTTTAATATATAGTATTGGAAGTCCTAGCCACAGCAGCCAGAAAAGAAAAGGAAATTGGAAAGGAAGAAGTAAAACTGTTATTTACAGATGACATGATACTATATAGAGAGAACCCAAAAGATTCCACCAAAAAAAAAAACACTATTAGAACTAATAAATGAATTCAGTAAAGTAGCAGGATACAAATTCAATATTTAGAAATCAGTTGCATTTTTATACACAAATAACAACTATTAGAGAAATTAAGAAAACAATCCTATTTACAACTGCATTAAAAAGAATAAACTACCTAGGAATAAATTTAACCACCTTGGTTAAAGCTATAAAACACTGAAGAAAGAAATCAAAGAAGACACAAATAAATGGAAGCATATACTGTGTTCATGGATAGGAGGAATTAACATCGTTAAATATCCATAATAACTCAAAAAAATCTACAGATTCAGTGCAATCCCTATCAAAATACCAATGGCATTTTCCACAGAACTAGAATAATCCTAAAATTTTTATGAACCACAAAAGACTCCAAATAGCCAAAGCAATCTTGAGAAAGAGCAACAAAGTAGGAGGTATCATGTTACCTGATATTAAACTATAATAGAAGAGCACAGTAATCAAAACAGCATGGTACTGGCATAAACACACACACACAGATCAATGGAGCAGAATAGACAGCCCAGAAATAAACCCATGCTTATATGGTCAATTAATCTACAATAAAGGAGGCAAGAATACACAATGGGATAAAGACAGTCTCTCCAATAAATGGTGTTGGGAAAACTGGACAGATACATGCAAAAAAAATGAATTAGACCACCTTCTTATACCATGTATAAAAATAAACTTAAAATAGCTTAAAGACTTAAATGTAAAACCTGAAACCATAAAACTCTTAGAAGAAAATATAGGCAACAAACTCTTTGACACTGGTCTAGCAGTAGTTTTTGGATATGTTCCCTAGGGCAAAGACAACAAAAGCAAAAATAAACAATGGGACTACATCAAACTAAAAAAGCTTTTGTATCAGAAAGGAAACCAACAAAACAAAAAGGCATCCTACTGAATGGGAGAAGATATTTGCAAATGATATATCTGAAACTGGGTTAATATCCAAAATATATAAAGAACTTATACATCTTAACATAAAAAAACCACAACAATTTGATTATAAAATGGTAAAAGGACCAGTGTAGACATTTCTCCAAAGAGGACATACAGATGTCCAACAGACACATGAGAATGACGTTCAGCACCACTATTCATTAGAGAAATGCACATTAAAACCACAATGAGACATCATCTCACACCTGTTACAATAGCCATCATCAATAAATCAACAAACGAGTGTTGATGAGGATGTGGGGAAATGGGAACCCTTGTGCAAATTGGTGCAGCCAGTAGGGAAAACAGTAAAGAGGTTCCTCAAAAAATGAAAAAGAACTATCTTATGATCCAGCAATTCCACTTCTGGGTATTTATCCGAAGGAATCCAAAATACTACTTTGAAAAGATACATGTATCCGTATTTTCATTGCAGCATTGCTTACAATAATCAAGATACAGAAGCAACCTCAATGTCTACCAATGGATGAATGGATAAAGCCGCTGTGAGATTTACGTGCGCATGCGCGCACACATACACAAACACAAGGGAATACTACTTAGCTACAAAAAAAAGAATGAAGTCTTACCATTTGCATAAACATGGATGGACTTAGAGGCTATTATGCTAAGGGAAATAGGTCAGACAAGAAACACAAATACCATATGATTTCACTTGTATGTGGAATCTAAACAATAAACAAAACAAACAGATGCATAGATACAGAGAACAAACTGATGGTTGCCAGATGGGAGGGGGTTTAGGAGGTTAGGTGGAAAAGGTAACGGGATTAAGAAGCACAAATGGGTAGTTACAAAATAGTCACTGGGATGTAAAGTACAGCTTAGGGAATATAGTCAGTAATATTGTAATAACAAGGTATGGTGCCAGGTAGGTACTAGACTAATCGGGGAGATCACTTTGTAAATTCTGTAATTGTCTAAGCACTATGCTGCACACCTGAAACTGATGTAATGTTAAATGTCAACTCTAATTGAAAAAAAACAGTAAAAAAAAAATCATCATTTTAAAAGACAATATTACCCTGATACCAAAACCTGATAAAGACGGTACAAAAAAGAAAAAACAACAACAAAATAACTACTGACCAGTATCCCTCATGAATACACATGAAAAAGTCTTTAACAAAATATTAACAAGTAGAATTCAGCAATGTATAAAAGGAATTATATACCATGACAAAGTAGGGTTTATTCCAAGGATGCAAAGTTTGTTTAGTATTTGAAAAATCAATCAGTATACTCCACTATATTAACAGGCTAAAGAAGAAAAATCACATGGTCATATAATTCAGTGCAGAAAAATAATTTGACAAAACTCAATACTCATTCATTATGAAAACTAGTTATAGAGGAGAACTCAGCTTGACAAAGAACATTTACAAAAACCTACAGCTAACATTATTATACTTAATATTCCCCTAAAATTGGGAACAAGGTAAAGAGGTCCATTCTCACCACTCTTACTCAATATAGTGCTGAAATTCTGGATAGTGCAATGAGGCATTAAAAGGAAATAAAATGTGTACATATCTGAAAGGAAGAAATAAAACTGGCCCTTATTTGCAGATGACATAATTGCCTGAATAAAACCCCAATCTACAAAAAAAACCTCTTAGAACTAATAAGTGAGTTTAGCAAAGTCACAGAATACAAGATCAACACACAAAAATCAATTACGTTTCTATATTCTAGCAACAAACACATGGACACTGAAATTAAAAGCATAAATTATAACCACTCAAAAAATGGAAATACTTTTATGTAAATATAACATGTGTAGGACTTGTATGTTGAAAGCTACATATAAATAATAAAAACAAATCAAAGAAAAGCTGAATAAATGTAGAGACATACCGTGTTCATGGATTAGAAAATCCAACATAGTAAAGATGTCAGTTCTTTCCAAACTGATACATTGGTTGAACACAATTCCTATTAAAATCCCAGCAGGATTTTTTTTTGCAGATGTCGACAAGATTATTCTAAAATCTATATGGAAAGGCCAGGGAACTAGAATAGCTGAAACAATTTTGAAAGGGAAGAGCAGAGTGACATGAATCAGTCATCATGATTTCAAAATTAATTATATAACTATAGTAATCAAAACTGTGTGGTATTGGCAGAGGGACAGATATAGACCTGTAGGACAGAACAGAGAACCCAGAAATAGACCCACACAAATATGCCTGAGTGATTTTTGAGAAAGGCATGAAAATTATTCAACTAAGGAAGGATAGCCTTTCCAACAAACGGCACTAAAGTACTTGGACATCCATAGGCAAAGAAATAAACCTTGACCTAATTCCTTATACAAAAATTAACTCCAAATAGATTACAAACTCAAATGTAAAATGTAAAACTTTTAGAAAAATATTAGAGGAGAAAATCTTCTAGCCCTAGGATCTAGGGCTAGGCAAAGCATTCTTAGACTTGACATTAAAAACATGATCCATAAAAGGAAAACTGACAAATTAAAGCTAGTCAAAATGAAATACTTTTGCTCTGTGAAAGACCCTGATAAGAGGATGAAAAGTTAAGCCATAGAGAAAATATTTGCCAATCACATATTTAGCAAAGGATATTATCTAGGATACATGAGGAACTCAAAACTCAACAATAAAAACACAAACAATCCAGGTAGAACATGGGCATAAGACATGAACTGAAGAGGATACAGATGGCAAATAACACATGAAAAGATGTTCGACATGATTAGCCATCAGGAAAATATCAATTACAACCACATGAGATATCATTATAAACCTAGCAGATGGCTAAAAAGAAAACAGAAAAAAAAATAGTAACAACATCATATGCTGGTGGGGATGTGGAGAAACAATCACTCATACACAGCTGGTGAAATGAATAGTATAGCCATTGCAGAAAAGAGTTCGTTGGTTTCTTAAAAAACTAAACACGCAAGCACCATATGAGCCCAGCAACTGCATTCTTGGGCATTCATCCCAGAGAAATAAGGACTCATGTTCACATAAAAACCTATATATGAACATTTACAGCAGCTTTATTTGTAACAACTCCAAACTGGAAACAGCCCATATATCCCTCGATAGGTGAACACTTAAACTGCGGTAATCCATACCAAGGAATATCGCTCAGCAATAAAAAGGAGTCAACTATTGATACACATAACCTGGATGAATCTCCAAAGAATTATGCTGAGAATTAAACCAATCCCCAAAGTTTACATACTGTGTGATATCATTCTTGATATAACAAAATCATACAAAGAACAGATTAAATGTCACCCGTGGTTAATGAGGAGGTGGGGGTGAGAGTGAGGTAGGTGTGGCAGGAGGGATCCTTGTGGTGATGCAAATGTTCTGTATCTTGACTGTAACAATGACAACATCCTGGTTCTGATATTGGACTATAATTTGGCAAGATGTTACCACTGGGGGAAACTGGGTAAAGGGTATAAAGAATTGCTCTGTATCATTTCTTATTTATACATGTGAATCTATAATGATCTCAGACTAAAAATTTTAATTAAAAAGATTTGTACTTGCTTCTCATTGGCTTAGTGAATAGTCTCTGAGTTTTTTCCATTGGTCAGAACTTGGAAGAGAACTGAGGGTGTGGGAGGTGGGGGGATAAAAATGAAAGAATATGGAGACCAAACCTACCATAAACCTTACAAGCAACCAAGCATTTTGAATTCAACATCCAAACTCAGGAGACATAGCAAATGCTTCCAGATAGCTGTAGCTACATTTTTTTTTCGGTTCCTAGTTCTAACCACAGAACTGGTGTTTGTAATGGAGAATAATATTTGTTAAGATAAATTTGACCAGCAGAGAATTACAGTGCTCTGATTTGAGTCATGGTAACCTTCCAATTTTATGCTTGGTCATGTTTGTTCTAGTACATTTCTTCAACAGTGGCTACTTCATCAGTTTCCCCACCACAGGAATGTTCAGTATGATGGCCACTAACCACACATGGCTACTGAGCATGTGAAATATGCTTAGTCTGACTTGAGATGCACTATCTATCTACCTATCTATCTATCTATCTATCTATCTATCAATATATATATATATATGGTATTATAATATACTAATATGTCCTATAACTGAAATATACACCCAATTTAGAAAAATCAGTATTAAAAAATGTAAAATACCTTACTAATGTTTTTATATTGACTTCATGTTGAAATGATAACATTTTGGACATATTGGGTTAAATAAAGGATTATTAAAATAAATTTCATCTATTTCTTTTTACTTCATAAAAATGTAAATTTCAAATTGCGTTTGTGACTCACAGTGTATTTCTACTGGATGGCTCTGCCCTAGAGGTTGAAACAAGGCTCTGAGTTGACAACGTCAAACAAGCCACCAGTGGTCAGTGAGTATCTTTGATGGCTGTAACACTGGATGATGATCACTTCATGAATGCAGCCAAAATGCATGTACTTCTTAGCCTTAGAATGAAGCAGTGTTTTCAGCTGGGTCTCTACAGGCCGTAGACTTGCTGCAACGTAATAAGGGTAGAAACTGAGTGCTCCAAGGAGTTGCCAGATTATTTCTTAAGACAGAACTTTGATATAGAACTTGCAGCGTTAGTGCCTGAAATATTTAGAAGGCAGCTTGGAAGGAGTCTCCAAATTCAGGGGAAAAGAAGGGTATATTCACAAGTTGAAAAGGAAAAAAAAAAAAAAAAGCTGGCCCAGATTTTTGTTTAGGACATGCTCACACATCTCTTTTACTTCTGCCAGATCATCTTTGTGACAAATACAATACGTTTCCAGTAAAGGGAGTCATATTTTTGAAAAGCCCAGGCTTATTCTGCTTGATACTTTCACTTTAAAAAACAGGAGAGATATTTCCTCTGTTAAAGTATTAAAATGTCTCTCATGAAAGCAGCACTTGAGCAGAGAGCTTTTGTGTGTTCCAGATGCCTGGCTGTCTACCTTTCTGTGTCCTCCTTTCACCCTTTTGCAGGATTGGGATGCAATCTTGCAAAGAGAAAAGTGTAACAAGTGATAGTTGATGCCACCAGCGACTCTAGCTCCTGCTCCAGGAGCAGCGTAGAGCTGCATCATGGCCCCGGAGTTCACACCTTCTTACCTCCTGCAGTGCCCATCCGACAGCTGAGCCCTTGCCCTCGCCATGTACTAAAGGGCTTTCCACGAATTATTCCTAGGTGTGTGCCATAAAACAAGCTGTACTTTTCCACAAAAACGATGTTACAACTAAATCATAGCTATGCGACATAATATTTCACAAAAAGCAAACATAGCCTATAGAAATTTAAGGTAAAAAATATACTGCAAAATTTTATCTTGTACTTTACAAGGCAACAAATATACTCACTAAAATATACATGTCCAGCAAACAAATTTTATCACCATGAGTTTGACTAACACTAACATGTTAGCAATTGTAAACATTAAATGTTTAAAACTAATTTTTCTTATCTTCTTAAAAGTTAGAAGTGCTTTTGGGGGGATGATTTGAATATCCCAGTTCTCCCAGAGTTTTCCCAGGAAGTCTGAAACGATAGCTTTTTCTCTCTTAATAAATAATCTCTAGTTTTGATTTTATTGCCCATGTGTAATTACATTGTTTATTGTGCTTTGTAAACTACAGACTCAGAAGTACGTAGTTTATAGATGAGAATTCGAAAAATCGTGCACATCCCGCCAAATCCTGGTCCCATTTCTACTTGCATTTCTCCAGTGACGGAACTCACTGCCTCTGGAAGCAGTCCATTCCATTTTAGATCTCTCTCCTTTCACTGAGTTTTAGGCTGTTTTCCTACATCTTTACACTTATCTATCCAGATTCCTTCCAGAAAGCCAAAAAAACAAAGCAAATCCTTCTTCCTTATGACAGCCCTCTCATGTCCACAAAGAGTAACTAACCAGGTCCTGTGGAATAAGAGTCTGAGAAAGCTAAAGGAATTGTCCACACTCTGCGTGCTGAAGCGTTGGAGCGCTTTAGGAGTTATTTAATCTTTCACAAAGATAAATATCTCTCATCAGATAATGTTTAAATACAGACATAAATATACTTTGTGGAAAAGAATCACCTTGTTTATACAGAGGAAATCTCTCTCTGACCAAGTAATGCTGTTTTGGTTCAAGGTTCATGTAGTGCATTGGGCTACAATAAATTGAAATAAACCATCACCCTTACATGTGAATACAGCTTCTTCTTAAAGGCCACCCTTTGTGCTGCCCGTTTACACATGATCTGCAAAGCGCGTTCCGCCAAGCCTACCACTCTCATACAGTGGTGGATTCTGCCAGGTCCAAGGCGGCCCTGGGCAATTTCAAACCCTCTTCCTTCACCTGGGAGGAAGAAAAGAGAAGCTGAAAATGGCCACAGCCCATTTATTTTGTTATTTACACAAATCCTGAGAAAATGATGAGCTACTCTCAATAAAAATGGCATTCTGGTAAGAAGAAAGTTCTATAATTAGGTTCATTATACATTTATGGAACTTTTGCTTTCTATGTTTTTTGAAACCATCATCATTAAACATTTCGATCAAATTTAAGAACTATCTCTTGAGTACCTGCTATGCATCAGCTATTTATTAGAGCTGCAGCGGTTACAAAGGTAGATTAGACATAGTCCCTACACTAGGAATTTAGAATCAAGAAGCAATAAGGATGCCAGGGATAAGGGGTATGGAGAAGGACAAAGGCAAAGAAGGGAGACATTGAAATCGTAGGGCCTGGCAGACATCCAGGGCTTGTTGAGTGGACAGGATGACGAACACAAAAAGGAGGTGCCATTTGAGATGTTCTCTGAAGGTTGGGTAGGATTTCAACACGCAAGGGGGTGGTGTCATTCCAGGTATACGGTGCTCAAAGTTGCTTATGCTTCCAACTTGAATATAAGACCTGAATTCAGAAAGTACTGAGGTTTTCTTAAAGCAAGTAGAGGTTGAGGATCATGTTTTAGGAAAAGCGTGTTGCTCTGAATTGTATAATTTTTATATTTAGCTATGTTTTCAATTGATGTGATATAAAACCACAATCAAACACTTTACATTATTCCATGTAAGAAAATTCACAAAATTGGAAAAACATTCTCTTGTAAATGGAATAAGAGCAAAAAGTATCTAAATTAAGGTAGACTTCGTATCTTTTCCATATTTAGGCCTGAACATATTTCAATACAAAATACTAGAGAATCATTTTTGTAAACTTATCTCACCTAGTATTAAATTGGTGGCAGGAACTCGCACTTGATTAAAATGGATCTCAAAATGTCCTCCGTGCAAATGATCTATCAAACAGGAAATAAGATTTTAAAGAGCAAAATGAGTTGACCAAAATATAGTCACATATAATTAATCTGGTGAGGTGAAAGTAGGATTTAAAAGCCTCGTATGTCACAGACATTCCTAGGTAGATCTGAACCCTGAACCCCCAGTATCCCATAGCCCAGAAAACTCATCAACTATTCTAGTTAGAGGAGATTTTCGAAATAATTTGATCCAGGGTTTTTTAACTTATTCTCTGAAGTTGTAGAGGTATTAAAAGGGAAGATGGCTGCACAGTTCCAATCCGACTATTTTATATTGTTTTATAATTGCGTCTTCTTTGAAATTTTTTATTTATGGGCTTCCAAAGAAAATTTTGCTTGGAAAAAAAACACACAAGGTTTCAATAGTTCAAAAATTGAAAGTAAGTAATGTAAATCACATTTTTTCTTTTATCATTGTGGAAATAAATTCCCGACAATGTAAAGAGCCTGCTCAAAGGGACAGAGAAGGCTCAGCATTAGAGATGAAGCCGAGACTGGACCTTCAGGTATGTTTACTCCCCATCTAGGCTTGTTCACTGTGTTTGCCTCTTGAAAATGCTGGCATTTGACTGAAATGTGGAATACATTCACACTTGTCTTTACAGCACCCCTGCTCCCCGCCAAATTCTGGAGATAACCTCAGGCTAACTCCACACCCTTTTCCTGGCAGAATAGACATTAATAATCAACCTTCCCCACACTGTTTCTTTTAGCCTTGAGCATAGGGAGTTGGAGAGGTGCTGGTAAATTTGTCATACTGAGAATTCAAACATAGGCTCTGCAGTAGAGGGCATTTGCAGCCAACCTATATTAGAAACCCATTTGGGGAGTCATTCAGGCTATTGGTCTGCAACCCAACATCCCATGCACCATTTGCTCCAGTGAGCCTGTTCACCCCAACTCACCAACGCTTAGCCTGTGAGGACATTCTACAGCTGAATCCTACACAGCGGGATGGTGTCCAATGTTGTATAAAACTGCAAGTCTTACATCTGCTACTTGAACTTTTTCATTAGCCATATTCAGCAATAAAGAGAAAGCCAGAGTCACCACAGAACCTGAAGTTCAATAAAGGTTTTCACCATGCTAGCTAATTTACTTATTTACATGTTTGTAGTTATTGCCTATCTCCTCCCACCAGCATGTAAGCTCAATGAGAACGGAGATCTTCGTCTGTTGTTTTCATTACTGTATTCTAAGTACTGAGAACAGTGCTCAGCATTCAATAAATACTTGGCCAAGTAAATGACCTGAGCATCAAGGAAACATGGACATGAGCCTGAGGTTGGTGGCAGGAAATGAAAGTATCTTTGCTTCTTAGAAATTCCACCAAAGGACAGAGGAAGGAAAAGTTTTGCATTCAAATCAGTCAAAAGTATTGCTTATTAACAGCTCTTACTGGTTGATTAAGAAAGCTAAACTTGAAGACAAAAGTGAATTTTATTGTGGATTACCCACATTTAATTTTTCTGTGCATATTTCATTAATCCATTCTCCTTGATGACAGAGACACTGGCAGTCAGGCTTGCTGTTCCTTGAATATGATCTGCCCTTTCCCAAAAGTAAACAGAATGAGGTGGAATGCTGTACCACCTCTCAATTTTTATTTGCTGAATTCCACTGGCATTTCTATTAAGACAGTTGTCGGGGCCAAAAGATTTCTAAGAGCATGTCTCATACGTTAAAATGCTATTTCTTCCCGTCAGTATTACCACCCAGTCTAGTCTTCCTATGTGGCCATGTTGACTGCGTACTTACCCATGTAGCCAAAAACTGACAAAGGCCTGACTACTTCTACTCCAGGTGTGCTGATCGGAACAAGAATCATGCTGTGCTGTTTGTGTCTGGTCAAAAGAAAAACATGTTACGAGAAGTTTGCTAAGTGGAAAAGTAAAACAGATGTGAGGCAGAGTCACAGCTGTCATTTTGTTGTTGAGGTCATGTAATCATGGAAGCAATGATGTCTGCAATGGGGTATAAAAACATACATCGAGGAAACAATGGACGTGAGCACAGTCGGATGCAGGCTGTGATCTGGAACCATAACAAGGATTTGAAAATAAGGAAAAGGTATGTGACTGAGGCTTCTCATTGCTCAACAGTGGGAACTGACATACAACATTAAACATTTTTCAAATGATTGCTTTAAACATCGACTATGTACAGACAGTTCAGAAAAAATTTTATATGTCTTATAATCTGATCCAAAAAAACTAAGGATTGAGCAACCACTTTTTAATACAGGAAATTCCACAGTGAAGAATGTACAGCAACACTCCCTAAAATGTTTCCTAAAATATATCTTTTAGCAAAATAACTGTGAAATACAAAAATGTGACGCTTAATATCATTTTATACTATTATGATTTGTGAGTCCAAACGGTAAATCTTAAGTAAATTAAGTGGATAGAAAGACTGACTCTTATTCATACATAGATTTCTCAATCACAATTGTTTATTACCTGCTTGCAGAGGTATTTCTAGTTCTTCCCAAAACAACTGCAATTTTGCACTTTGGGTTACCAGCTCCTAAAACCAAGGGGAAAATGAGCAGAATACATCATAAAAGGAAATTTTTAGTCTGACATTGTATCCTAAAAGTTCTAATCCTTCCAAGTTTATGTCTGGCAAAAAACAAATAGCAAACAAAGCCTTGATTTATTTTTTTTAATTGCTTATGTGCAAAACTACATCAATCCAGAAAAATGACTAGGCAAGGCCAAAAATGGACTCTATCAATGAAAGCTGATGCACGAAAATAACCAGATGTCAAAGCGGCCATGAAATAGTTGAAACCCTTAAGACAAAATGATAGCTTTCCCATTCATATCACTTCAGATGTCAACATGCTGGAAAAGTAGACATCTAGCACATTTCCTCCTGTTTACATCTCATATTTTCTGACACATGGACAAGAACATATTAAAACTCATGATATTTACTCCCCAACCAGTGGCTGAGGAAAACCTAATTTCCCCAGCAGTGGAGTTGGGTGAGGGTGAATCTGTCTGAGGAGCTCAGTGCCTATCCCAGACTATATCATTTGTCCTAGCTATACTATAGAGCAGCTGACGATGGTTTACTTGGAACTGTCCACATATATGAGGCTGTAATTCCAACTGAGTAAGCCTAGGTTCTCATTTATTTATTAATTAAAGGTTAAGAATTTGGAAATATAGCTATGCTCATTTTAATGCAAACTTTTATTTTATTACAGTTCAGAAGTCTATGGCCATTCCCCAAAGGGGTCCTCTTGAAAAATGTACATTTCATTTTCAGCAGCAAGTCTAAGAACCTGGTCCCTCAAGGACACTGCCATTTAACTGGCATTCTAATCACAGGGCCATAAACAACTGGGTAAGACTAAGTTAAACACATCTGTATAAAGTCTTAAACAAATGATCAGATTCTTTTTTTCTAACTTCTTATAAAAAGAGGTGTCAAAAGATTTGAAATGATATGGAGATTCAATGAGAAATGTTAGGAATTATGTAAATAGTTGAAGAATGCCATAAAATCCCAAGAGTTAAAAGGATAAACTCCACGGAACATATAAAAGGACAAAATAGAGGATGTAAGAAGTAATGTACAGACTGTGTGAAATCTATGAGACAAATAATCCAGTTTCTTAAACAATGAAATTGCAACAAAAAGAAAAAAGAGGGAGCTTACAGATTTAAAAAGACTTCAAAAACATATTCATCAACAGCAACATTGAGACCTTATTTGAATCCTAATGCAATCAAACAAATTAAAATATTAATGAAAATTATGAAACAATTAGATATGTGAATACTTACTGGATATGTGATGATATTAAGTAATTTTAGGTGTGCTAAAGTTATTGTGGATACATTTTAAAACAGCCCTTATTGTGACAGATACTAAAATATCTGAAGGAAATGATGTGATGTCTGGGATTTTTTCAAAATAATATGAGAAAAGGAAGCAACGGGAGTAGGGCCAAAGCAAGAATGGTCATGAGTTGAACATTGTTGAGTCTCAAAACTATTCAAAGAGTATTCCTAGAAGAGCTAAATGTGTAGCAGAGATATGAAGGAGAAATACGGATGGTATATTGAAATGTCTGGGAACAGCTCACAAAACAGTAAACATGAGGAGTAGAGGTGGGCAGGGCCCAGAGCAAGGGTACCTTTAACTCTATAGATTGAGAGGCGACTGGAGAAGCAGTGCGAGAAGAAAAGATGATTAGGCAAGAAACAGAACAAGGCAAGCAGAGGTAAAGAAACAGAATAGAGGGTAAAATTAAAGAGTCAAGTCAGAGAGAAGGGTCTACTTTAAACTCTAGCACTTCCATTTGAAATTTTGAAACTCCATACAGTTGAATATCTGGCTTCATAGAAGAAACAAATGAAAAAGAATACACAACTATAGCTCTTGTAGTACTTTCAGTCTATCTGAGGAGATTCAGAGAAAACTGTACAATGGAAACGATCTAGAATTTGCTAGAGCTCAGTGGAAACAGACTTGATAGCTTTTCTAAAACCAACTTGGAGAGATTCAAGATGGCAGAAATATGTGTTTGTCTCCCATTGCTCCTAAGATCCTATTAATATCAAAATATAAATGTACAATGAAGGCATAACCGGAACAGAAAAGGAAGTAGAAAAGGCGAGGCATAGGGTTGCGTGTGTTGGTGGTCACCAACAGATGAGAGAGTTCAAGAAATATCTGGGAAACGGAGACAAGGTAAACAATGAAATGGGCAGATTCTAGAAAATGACATAAGGAACTGCAAAGGGAGATGGTTCTGGCCCCAGAATCAGAAGGTATAACTGAGAAGTGAGGCTACAAAAGGAGGATTAACCCAAGATTTATCAGTGGACAAACGTACCAGCTTCCACTCTCACAGGCAGGCGTCTGACAGCCTGAGGAGGAAAGTATATATAGTGTGTTACGAAAAACTGGAACAAAGTCATTCTGAGGCTTGGAAGCTAAACTTCCCATCAGCTGACTCTAAAGTGAGTCCCAGGTCTGCTCCACCAAGTTTTCTCAGAATTACTACGCAGAAGAGAAATATGGCTGGAAAAGAGCTCCGTGTTAATAACGAGGAAAACATCAACCAGCTACCCTTCTCTTTTAAGTCTGGATAGAAAACCAAGAATCTGTAGTGTGTGAAGACAGTCTTCAGCATGGAAGAGAATGACTGACCAAAATAAACTGTGCAATGGACCACAGAGGAACAAAATAAAACAAGAAACAAAGAGAACCTAAAACAAAACAAAACTGAGCTAAAACAAATAACAAAAGCTCTACTTAATGTAATCAGAGAGATCCAAATGTATGGCAGCCATGAAACCAGAAAAGGATGTTATGAAAGAGGGACAACCACAGAAAAATAAAAAGCAAAGATTAACCTGTGATTGCTAAAACAAAGTTTAACAGGAACACTAAAAATCGAATCAGGAAAATTTCCAGAAGCAGAGGAAAAAGTCAGAGACTGAAAATCGGAGAGCAAAGATAGAGATCTTAGAGCAAAAACAAAGTCCAATGTCAGAATAAAAGGGGTTCGATTGAAAGAAAATCATCCAGTAAAGAGAAAAATCAGGGGAAGAATTTATCAGGAAACTTGTAGGAGAAAATTTTCTAAAACTGAAAAAAAAGTCTTCAGATTAAAAGGGCTATTGACTGGCAAGAAGAATCTATCTTCAGATATGTGTTTGTGACACTTCAAAATATCAACAATAAAGGGAAAATCCTAAGGAGGTTTTTTTTTTTTTAAAAAAGTCACCTACAAAGTAATGAGGGTTAGACTAGCATCAGACTAAAGATTCTAAGAGGTTCCCAGAAAAGAAAGAGAATTACAGGTACAATTTAGAGGTATGTGTGTATGTGTAAGGGGGAGGAGATATAATATGATATAAGCAAATATTGCAATGAAAGAAAAATGGCAATTAAAACTCCAGGAAAATAATTTTTAAATGTACAAGTGAACCATGATTCAAATATAAAACCAAGTACAACATGGCATGAATTTAAGCAACACAGAGAGTGTAAGAAAAGCTATTCTAATTAACCTTGATGCTAGAAACACTCAGAATGGCCAAGGTAATATTATTTTATGTACATCAGTTAGAGAAGGACAGGAAATCTAACACACTATTTAGACCAGCATATGAACAATATTAACATAGTCCTCTAAGGTGAGTGTTGTGTGTTGGTTTTCAAAGTTTAGAGTCATCCTGTGATCAACCATGGCTGTGAATGCAAGACAGATCATAAATGTCAATGCCGAAGCAGAAGCTGTGGCTGATATAAGGTATGTAAGGTACAACATGGAAGGAAGGGATTAAAGGTAGAGAAAGGAGTAAGTGCACTCATATTCTTACGTTAGAGAATGAAGCTTGAAGAGTTCCTATTCCGTCCAATGAGGATGCAGAGGAAAGATTTAGAGATCATTTAATGTTTAAAAAGTAATCAAAACTTTGAAACAATAAAATAAATATATTAGGAAAAGGCAGAGTTATAATACAAATGAGTGAAATTGTCATTCAAATTGGGGAGTCAATGGATAGTCAATAAACAGGGAGAGAGAAAAAAAGCATTTTACCTAAAATTACAGCAGAAAGCAGAGAATTAAAAACAGAAACTGTTAGTTTTCTCTAGGGTATGGTATTGGGGTGTGGAGGGATGAGAAACAGTATGCTCTTAGATATTTTCTGATTTGTTACCATTCCTAATTTAATAATAAAATTTAATAACGTTTTAAAAAACTAGCCTACCATCTATGCTGTATACTTGAAATTAATATAAAGTAATATTGAATGTCAAAAATAAATAAATGAAAATAAATTAAAAAAAAACACCTTAGCCTACCATCTTGTAAACAACTCTGTAAATCCCAATTAGGAGGAGACATATTTGCTGAGTAAACTGCAATGTTTGTTTTTTTCACTTTCCTAATCTCCTTCTACTTGAACACTTAATCTGCCAGCTATGGAGGAGCCATTTCCTGCACAGGGTGGGGCATTTCCCCACTTCTATGTGATAACACCTAACTCCCGAAATCCTACATGCACTCTGCCTTATAAAACACTTAAACTGAGTTTTAAAAGTACAAAAAATACATTTCATCTGGGAAAGGGAGGGAAGGTGGAAGAAGGTTGTGTGCCTCAAATGGGTGACTGTTCATCCGCAGGCTGGTAGGGGAGTCAGGAAACACTTTACACTGATTTGATTTAGATCTTGAATCAGATGACTACTTTCCCCACGGCCAAAGCCACCAGACTATCAGAACACGCAATCATATATACATATATATGATTTTATCTGTGACTAGAAAGTAAGGGAGAAGCCTTTTAACTAACTTAGAACAGGACGTTTTTTAAAAAGAACATTAAGTTGGCCATTAGACCCACACTGTAATCAGATAAATATGTTAGGCAAAATTGTCTTTCTTATATTTTCCCCAAATATATGACTTAATGTCTATATTATGTATGAGATAAAAACAAAACCATTATCTCGACCCTTCTGGGCTTTTGCAACAGACTTTTATTACTAAATCC